CAATGGGAAGCTTAGGAAGAGGTTGACATGGTTTCTTTCCATGCCAAAGAACTTCCCTTGGAACATTCTAAGAACACTGTGTGGCCATGTGCCGAATGTGCCGTCATAGTTATGCTGTTAGTTAAATTAAACATGAACAACTGAATGAAGAACATTATTATTCTGTGCACATTCTTGACTCTTAATTTAAGGTTAAACTAACTTAATTTAATGTCATGTGAATTTTTAGCAGCAATTATGGCCAGTTAATGCATGTTCTTCCTTGGTCATGCCTCATCTCTTTGCAAAATTACAATATTTCATTCCAAATTTATTCTGACCAGAACTTTCTCCCATTTTCCCTCAGTGTTTATATCAGAGGCCTTTTGAGTTTATACTGTAAACCACCACTTGTGTATTTTTATAATAAGCCTCTAAGAAGTAGGCCTGAATGTGAGTGCATAGGACTCAATGCAGATCAGAGAACTGGACCTCATTCCTTCTTTATCCATCAGGGGCTGTTGTGTGGATGAGAGATACCATCTTAACATCTCTGTTCCAGTCTTTCTCCTCTCCTGTCTGGTGTACCACCACCCAACCAATATTCCTCAAGGATGTCTCAGTGCAGAAGTATGCCTCTGTCAAGTTCTATTTAAAAGAGGCAGTGGCTCCCCACTTACTGTCAAAAAAAAAAAACAAACAAAAAAAAACCCCGAAAAACAAAAAAAAACAAACCTTGCATCTACAAGGTGTTATACGGGTCATGCCTTTCCCCACAGATGATCTATGTCCTCCAAGCCTGGAAGATTTGCTGTTCCATATGTTTTGTGTCATGTCTCAGTTTCTTTGCCTTCTTCATACTGATTCCCTTTTCTGTATCTACGTGTTGAAGTCTGGCCTACTCTTTCTTTATTCATTTATTTACTTTAATTGAATGATTCAGTAACTTCATTCATTTAATAGAAATTTACTGAGCTGTAGTTGCATGTCAGGCACTGTTTGAGGGCAAGTTCAAATGCTACCTCCCCTAAGAAACCTTTCCTAATCACATCAGCCATATGCAAGTCTTCTCTCTTTACAATTTCCAGGGTCTTGTTCATACTAATGTCTTGTTACTAATCTATATCTCATTGCTGTGTATACAGTAGGCACTCAAAAATGTTTTGTTGCATTAAAGAAAAATGAATAGGTGAGTGAATTAATTATTTAAAGAAATTCTTTGCGTTCTCTACCAGTGGAAGCTAATGACTAAAATCAAATGATGAAACTGGTCTAGAAATTTAATATTATTGTGGATTTCCAGTCTGTGAAACACCCTCTGTGTGGTTTACAACAGAGAAGGGAGTGAATGCTTTTTTTCTCAGCATTCTACCACATTCTATACTGTTTAGATATTAAAGGCAGTATTATACTTTGTCATTGCTTTTTATTATAAGGCAGTGTTTTAAGGACATTACTGAAAAGGAAGATTCCACTTCCAGAGTGCTAGTAGCCTCTTTTAGCATTCAAAAAGCATATATATTAACCAGAATAGTAAGAAAGCAGCAGATTAAGTAATTTTGAAAAACCATTTATTTTGATCAATAAAAACTAGGAGCCTTGATTAGTTCCCAATAGAAGTGAGCCATCAAAACAATAGTCATAACTATGAGCTTGTGTTTACCACCTCTCAGGGATGTTACTGCCCAGTTTGTCATTTAATTCCCCCAAACAACTCTATGTGAATTGGGTACTTTTATTTTCCACACTATACAGATGAGGAACTGAAAATTTAGAGTTAGGCAAATTGATCATGCCCAGTGGACAATGAAGGTGGTTGGTGGGCAGAGTAAGCCCATGAGCTCAAGATCTGCACTTGTTCAACCTCTGTGCTCTTCTTTTTCTACTCATGAGGTTGGAAATGTGTAGGCTGTGACAGTGACTATACATTGAAGATCCTCTCAGTTACCTTGAATGACTTCTATTTACTTAATTGTTCTGTACTAGCTCTGTGTATGGTGAATAAGACTGTTTTTTGCTTTGTTTTGTTTTGAAAAACCATTGGAAACCATTGGAACCCCAGCAAGGGGGAACCTCAAAAAAGCCACCATTTTGAAGCTGTGCACTATTCTGAAGCAGAGTGGGTTTGACTCTCCTTCTGGAGATGATTGATAATTCTTTAAAACCTTGAGTTACTTTGAATTCTTTTTTTTTTTTTTAATATATTTAGGGCTAAGAAGCAAAGGAAAGGTAAGGGGCCTCTAATGAAGGTATCAGAACTTGAGAAAGGTGTTTTTGTCTGCCCAGGAGTCCTTCCTTTGAGAATGGCCCCTCTCCCAACATTTGTGCTTGTGGTGGACTGCCAACTCCCACTACTAAGAACTGGAATCTTGAGCAGGAACACACAGGGACAGAGCAAGTTGGGGATGACTCATTCATGTTGTTGCTCTGTACAGTTCAGGATTCTGAGCCTCAGGTTTACCTTCTGAAAAATGGGGTTTGTATGCTTCACAGAGTTGAGGATTCAGTGAGATGTTGTCCATGAAAGCTTTGGCACAGAATAGTTATCCAATAAATATTTACTGTGCTTCGATATTCTGGGGACAGTTCTTTTTTCCCTGAAAGAAGGAAAGGAAAAAGTAGACTCTTTCTACTGGAGACACATAAGGTGCAGAATTATTGATGGTACTTGAGAAGAACTCGCAACCATTCAAATGATGAGTTAGGAAAAGATAATCAGGGTGATTGTGAACTGTGGAATGATGCACTGCTACTTTAGCGTAACACTGTTGTTAAAACTCACAATACTTCATTCTTAAAAAAAGATCAATGGTATGAAGGAAATTCAAGCCTCTTGGGGGTGAGGGTTTGGAGCGGGTGCGGAGGGAAGAAGAAGGATGTTAGTCTATAAAAGGATAGCCATCCAGTCATCCAGTGGCCAAATCCCTTTTTTAATGAATAGAGTTATGGCATTGCTCCAGCATATTAATAAATGTTCCCCTGTGGGTGGTGAGAACTTCAAATGTGAAACAGTGCATATTGGATTTGATAATAAGAATATAGAGAATTATAAATGAGTTGTCCAGGAGGCATCTGTGTTAAGGAGACTTAGGATCAGGACTTTGTGTATTCTAGTCAATGAAAAGTTGTGGGCAGAATTAGGGTGCTGTGGTGGAAAACGAAAGGATCCCGCTGGCTGGTGGAACATTGATGTGAAGTTATGGGGGAGTTTCGATTAAGCATGTATCTTTGATCTTCAATATGCTGTCTAGAGAGACTATTAGAAGCTGTAGGTGCAGCTACATACCTACTTAAAATTGACTTTTTGTTATGTTATTTCTTGTTTGATTGACCACCAATTTAGCAGCAGTCATATAAAAAGCAGGTTGGAATTTGGAATACATTTCTACATGGACATGAGACTGAAAATCCCTGTTTATCTTATAGCATTAGGTATACTAGAATAAGGTCTGAGAATAAGAGAAAGTTGGTGTGAGGGGCATAAGGTGAAGGAGGAAAAGACTAGAGACTTTGGGCCAACATTTGGCAAACAAAACAAAACAAAAACTTAATAATAGATAATGTTGTCTTTGATTATGGCCCCTCTTTTTTGTCCTTTTCCAATTCCTGATACTTTTTCTTCCTAATAGAACCCTCTTGTTTCAAAACAACCTGATGAGGTTGGTATTATCCCAATGATATAAATAAGAAAGTTGACGCTCAGAGAGACTTATGTAACTTGTTCATGTCCATATAGTAAGTAAACAGGAAAAGTCAATTTCATAATCAAGTATGCCTGGCTCTAAAATTCATGAATTCTGACATTTTTGTCTTGTGATGTCTGAGTTAATAGTGCCACCATTAACAAAATAAAGGAATATACAAAGAATATGGGTTGGAATGGACTATAGGCAAAGGAAAGTTGAATTGAGTTTTAGATATGTTGATTTGAGCTGCCTTGGAATAGCTGTGTCCTGTTATCAGGTCACAAGAGAAATTCTGGTTTGTTGCCCGGAGGTGGGCATAGGTATTGCTGGAGTGTTTCATTTGCTGCGGAATAGTGGAGAGGATATAGGTGGCTACATAGACAGATAGCTAGATAGGTAGGTAAGAAGGTAGGTATGTATATATGTATGTAGATAGATAGATAGAAAAGTTTGTTGGTGAGGTGGGTGTTTGGAAGTTGGGACATTTCTGTAGTCACTAGTCAGTATTCCTATTGCTTAGCAACTTTATTTCCTTATGAAGCTATGGCAAATAGAACTTTCATTTTTTTTTTTTTTGTGCCTAAGGGCTGATAGTGCTGCCTATGAATGATGCATAAGTGACAATTTTGTGTTACAAGCATTACTCTGACTCTTGGAATCATTGAATCTCAAGGTTGGAAGGGAACTTAATATTCTCTCTCAGATTTGCTCTGTATTCAGACTTTGCTTTACACCTGTATGAAGTCCTTACTGACATATCCCAGTCCTTTAGGTAGCACTCCTTCTATGAAAGATCTTACTTTTGAGGTGAAATCTTTCTATCTGTAAGTAGATATACCACAGTTGTTCCTAGATTCAACCATAATAAACAAATGAGCTCTACACGAGAGCTCATTGCACGTAGAGCTCATTTGGAAACAGCCTTTATGTATCTCCTAATTTTCTTCTTACTGAGCTGAGTTTCTCCTCCCGTCTCTTCAGTGGTCCTTTGTGGCAAAGGACTCATTGGCCCAGGTTCTGGAAATGTATTCAGCAGATGGCCTCCATTGTCATCTCCTTCAGGGATTGTTTCACTGGCAGAAAGCTGCTCCTACAAGGTCACACCCTGTCCTGGTGTGGTCCACATCCAATGACTGATTCATAGGGGGCATAAAAGGCCAGTTATTTCAGTCCAGTTTGGGACAACTGACAGACCATTTTTGTTCAGAGCTGCCAGTGGGGTCAGCCGAGGCCATTGTTGGGCTGCATCACAACCCAACTTCTCCTTTTGTTCCTTCTCGCATTCTTCCCCTCCCTTTCTTAGGTGTTCATCCCAAGGGCATGCCAACCTCTGGTGCAGTCTGATTCCTGAGAATCCAATCTGTAATGTGTGGCTGCAGGTCTTCTCATGAGCCCTTCACGAGAAGGGATCATTTCCTATATGATCATAATACATTTGGTTTTAAAGAATATTTTAAGTTAATTTTCATTATGAATCCACTGTGGAAAGTTGATATAGTAGAGAAATTTTTCAGTGGCAGTTTCTTAGTTTAGGTTCCCCTTCAAAAGCAGAGCCTGAGATAGGAATTACATATGAGTAGTTTATTTTCGAGAAATTATCCCAAGGAACAGAAGTGGAAGACTAGAAATAGCAGAGGAGGGAAAGCCAGTCCAAGGGTTCATTATGGAGCTACTTACCACTATAAGCAGCTGGGATGTGTTCCCATTGTGACCCTCTGAGAAGCCAGGTAGAGGGGTCTGCCAGATAATGGAAGAGGAGAGAATTTAGCCATCAGTTCCTGATTCCTGTTGGTCAAGCCTTGCCTTAGGAGGTTTTAACTCCTTTGCATCTTCAGGTTTGTGCATGCCTCAGAACAGCTGACTGAGTACCTGCCACTTTCCCAGGAAGCAGGCACAGAAAGCCCAGGACAGAAAGTGAGACATGCCAGGTACAGCTGAGGCAAAACGCTATCAGGTTACACCTGTTCACAACTGGTTGCCGCAGCAATTGTGGGCCTAAAAAGTTGGACTGAGACGATACAAGCCAGGGCAAGAAAGGACCAATACAGGGTAACAGCTACAAGTAATAACATTGTGTTTCTGGAACTTTCTTTGTATATGGGTTTTGTGAAAGACAGAATGCACTGGACTGTATTTTCTCCTAACAAGTCCATAGAACTGTTGCTAGGCTTTTCTTCTTTGATCATAAGAGGTAGAAAGACTTTGAGATGCATTGGAAGTAGTGAAATGGTACACTCACTCATGAATAAAATACTTCTCTTGGCTAGCTAGACTTATCAATGTTAAAATACCACAAAGAGAAATTGCAGAAACCACTATAAAAAGGTCTTCACATTCCTCGTGCTTTTCTACCAATAGCAGACATTTATTGCCAAGTATTTTGACAATGCTTTGTCTAGGAGTCCCTTTAAGCATGTTTGATTTAGTTGCTCTGTGTCCATGGCATTTCAAATGTCACGGAGATTTGACTCTGGTAGTGTTAAGCCATGCAGCAGTCTGTTGTTAAATTGGGGTAAGAAGTAAGGGAATTGAAAAGTAACTTGTAATTGAGATGAAAGATCATCTTTCATTGATTAGACTCAGGTGCTGATTTAGTGTCATATCCTGTATAGGGACTACTGTCCCTTAGGCGTGGATTAGCCACTAGTGACTCAGCTCTGAAGTGGTGAGTCCCAGTGATCTCCATCCTTTCATAGCCAGTTTTTCACTGGCAGCTTCCTAATGGGCCAGTCTTTGGAGGTGCCAAGTGGCAGAGCTACGGGCTTTCTTCAAGAGATTTGAGAGATGTAGTCAGACAGCCAGTTACCATTTTTATTTACTTTGGGAGAGCTTTGAGTCCCGAGACCTGCATAAGATGGCCCTGGTAGTATTTGCATTGTCTAACAAGACATGTCAAAAATTTCATAGTTGTCATCCCAGGAATGGCAGAAGCCGAAATGAGCAGACCAGCATGGAGAGGCTGGTGAGAAAGGAAGGGGCTTGTGAGAGCCACACAAGACCAGATATCCAAGCTACAGAAGGAGGAAGGTCAGTTAAGGCAAAGAAGGATAGACAGGGTTGAGTTCTTGAAATTTGTCTCAGGAGCAGGCAGCTGATTAGGAGGCTGAGTGGGAAGAAAGAGGTGGTGCCCAAGCCAGAGAGCCTAGGAAGTCAGATGTCAGGTTGTGGCCCAGATTCCTAGTAATAGCAAATATTTATTTTGTGTCACTAATTATTATGTGTCAGGTGCTGTTCTAGTCATTTTTTGTGCATAAGTAATCTCGGTCTCACACTAAGTGTTTGGGGTAGGTGCTATTATTATCAAACCTCTTTAATGCATGAGCTAACTGAGGCACAAAGGGGTCAGATAACTTGTCCAATTGTCCCATGGCTCTTACGTAGTTGAGCCTGGCTTCAGACTGGGCAGTCTTTTCCCAAAGTTCATGTTCTTCTGAATGTTGCTTAGTGCTTCCATTCCTGCTTTGAAGGAAGAAGCTTCTTACATATTATGCTTCGAGATGGAAGCCTAGGTTAGTTCCGAATATGTTGGGGGAGAGAAGGAGTTGGGAGTATCTGACATACATTTTATAAGCTGCCTCAGATCCATCTGGGCTACCTGCCTCTTGCTTTCACTGTCCACACAACCTCCTGGTAGTCTGCCTGAGGAGAACTGGGCCCTTACCCTTGCCTGTCACTGTTGCATGGCCAGCCAGTCCCCTGCTTGGAGTTTCTGGCTCTTCCTGCCATTTCAGGAGTTGGATGACGCAGCCAACCACAGGGCCTGGGATGAGGCCCCATGAGCACTGGAAGAAGCTGGATAGTACATTCTGGAAGTACCCGAAAGTTAACTCCCCATGGCGTGAAATTTGACAGAGGAAAGCGAGGGACAGGCTGGAAGTGGCTAGATAAATGCCTTCTTTTTTCCTCTGTCTCACAAATGACTCCGAGGCACATGTTTTCCTTCTGGCACATCCAGAAACATCCTTTGTGTCAAATGGATTCACCTGCCTTGAGGACCTGTTGTGTCTCTCTGTGGTTTATCTCAGAGTGATAGGCAGCATGGTCAGTCCTCACTTGGCATTGCCCGACCCCCTTCCTAATCTCCCTTTCCTCCTTTCTAATCCTTGCCACTCTGGGTTTACTCCATCTCCCTCACTGGAAAATCTTTAAAGCCAAGCTGAGAAAGTGGGCCTGGGCTAAAAAGTGAGAACAAATGGAGAAGCAGGCAATGTCTCAGCAATACTTCTTTGTTGAATGACAAAAGGACATCGATTCTTTGAAAAACTCATTTAGAATAAAGTGGAAGTTGATATTATGACTAATGGGGAAGTTGCAGTGCTTAATAAGAAGTTAATTTTACCACAACATGAGCACTTACAAAGGAGGAGTGAAAAACCTTGTGGGAGTAATCTCTCCCTGGTTAGGCTGATTGGAGATAGCATTTGCTTTAGAGCTGTCAGGCCTTCCCCTCCTTCTGTGTTACCTGTAGCGGGGACAGCCACCATTTTCTAGGAGCTTAGGTATAAACCCTACACTGCCCTAATGGTCAGTATGTCATTTAGTCCCTTGAGGTAGGAAAAAGATTCAGTGACGTGACTGATGAACAGCTAATGGGTGCCAGTGCCAGAGTTCATACCCAGGCCTGCCAAACTCCAAGGCCTACGCTTAGGACTGGTGCCTGCTGCCTTCTGGAAAATTCTTTATCAAGGGAGGTTATTTGGAGCAGGGAAACACCACGTGGAGAGGAAATATGGCAGGAGAGTATCTTAGTCCCTTTGTCCTCATTTAGTCTAAAAGCAGCTTGTGATGCGGCCAGCTGCTGGGGTCTGCAGCATCCGTGCCCACCTGCCCGCTTCTGGGTAGTAGATCGTGGGTACTTGGAAGCTAAGAACACCTCCCATCGTGAATTAGTAAATGGGCCCTTTGGCTCCTTGATCTCACCTTCATGTATTTGAGCAGCGTGGATAAGTCCTCTGCGTCTGCCTGGCAGAGCCCTGCCCCGAGCCCACCACAGCCAGCAGACTTCTTTCTCAGGACCTTTCTTGGTAGGTGTCCTTAGAGGAGCCAAGTTGTCTTTACAATGATTCCTTTGATCTAAAGCTCTCACCTCCCACCTCTCCCTCCTTGGGGCCTCCCCAGGGTTTTGTGTTCAGGCGCAAGTAGGACTTTATTTGCCAGGGAAGGAAGCCATAGTACAGGAGATCCACACAAAGGAGAATACAAATTGCATTTCCTATTTGACTTTGACGTACCACTTCTCATTATCCTCCTAGTAATGTTTTTGTGGTTGTCTTTGTTTCATTTTCCTTTGATTTTGTTATTTGTTGTTTAAGTGCTGGAGACAAAAGGCCCTTGTTGAAAGTCGTGGGTCCTGGGACGTGACTGCAGCTATGGCTTACCAGCGGAGGGTGACCTTGATCTGCCACCCAGTCCCCTGGGGACTCAATTCATTCACCTGCAAAATGGAAGAGGGGGTGAGATTATTTATTCCCAAACTGTGCTGATCCTGAGACTCACCACAGATGCTATTTCAAAAGGGCCCCATCTCAGACCTACTCATCACAGTTCGGGTGAAGGGAAGACAAGGGAGCATAGGGAAGGAGGAGAGGGTCCCCAGGTCATTCTGATGCATAGTTCAGGACCCACTTTATGTAGTCCTGCTGGTAGCACAGCTCTGGTAGTGCCATTGGCCCTGTATGGACTTGTGGGCATACAATATGGTTGGGGCCTTTGGGAGTTGTGCAACACAGCCCCACTGTGGGAGCTGACTTCTGCAGAGGGTCATTTCCAAGCATGGCACTCCTCGGTGTTAGGACAGTAGAATGGCCTGCCGAGTAGGCATCGGCCCAGACGCCTGTGGTGAAGGGTGGGAACACAGTAGCTATGACAACAGAGTAGAAACCTAGAAGGAGCTTAAGAACAGCTAGGCAACATTGACTCACAGGAAGCTGGCTACCGGATTATCCACGTTACTGGTACCTATCTGAGAAGAGGGATAGGTCTATGAAGAAGTAGGGCATCACAGGTGGCTTGGTCCAAATGGTAGGCCTTGGGTCAGAGCTCCCCAGACAGGGTTCAGTTGAAGAGAAGCAGGGCTTTCTCCCAGCTAAGCCAAGCTTATAGTTACCAACTAGTATCTCCAGTTGGGGGGTTATTTGCCTTTGATTTCATTTTATGTATTATGACGTTCTCTTTGAAAAAATAATCCAAATCAGAGAAAAGAAAAAAAATTGTTCATACTTAACGAGACCTGAGTAGAAATGTCACAGTAGCTGCCAGAAGCTAGGCTGTATTGATAAAAGACTAGAAAAAGAATCGGGGCACTGGGACAAATAACAGGTTAAAATTCTGGGGGAAGGTGGTTAGGATGGAGTCATCATGATAAGTGAGTATTTTTTTTTCTTAAGCTAATAAGATGCTGCTGAGCAGGCCTGAATGAAGTATGTTAATTGCCTAGGACAGTACTTTGCTTATTTTGCATTGAAATCAGTTGAAGCACGTGTCAAAAGTGAAGATTCCTGCCAAGCCCCAGCTATTTCGGAGTCACTGGGTATGAAGGGGTCACCTGGACTCAACATTTCACATGAGCATTCAGGATCCACACTTGTGAGAATCCTGTCCTTGATGTTGAGAGGAAGGGTGGGGAGCTCTGTCCCAGAATTATATTAGCTCCTCTGAGCGTTAGGTTCCCTCCATGTAATATGAATAGTGTTACTTTCCCCTACCAAAACTGCAATCCTCGGAAACAAATTTTCAAA